GTTCTTAGAAAAAAAACAGAATCCTAAAGACAACTTAGAAGTTACAGGAAATGCAATTCAACTTACATTGGAAACGGGGACAAAATAATCTGTGAAATGTGAAGGCATGCTCAAAGACTCCAAGCCAGTTAGAAATGCAAACCTGTGTTCCAGCTGTCCCTAGTAAATTGTGGAGGCAGTTCAAACCCTTCTACTCCTTTCTGGATCCAGATTGCCAGATTATGGGGTCAGCAGTGAAGTGATGGCACTGACTAATAACCTCAAAGAAAGCTGCCCTTAAAAACCTAATGATCACCATGGCACAAGTTTCCCATTTCTCTGCAATAATTTGATTTTGGCAGCAAATATAGGTTAAATCTGATGTTCAGCAATGGAAGATTAGGCATAATAAATGACAAAACTGAAAATTTAATGTTTTTTTTAGTCCCACAAAATGGCAAAATTAGAATGAATTTCATCCCTTGCCCTTGTTTTATGTACTTTCATATATGCACTATAGTTGCAGCATCTTTTACTGTGTTGATTATTTGACCGTAACTTGACAGATTTTTTTTGGTCATCCTATCTATAGATCAAAGTTTATCATTAGGTATTGTCACTAGAAATTTATTTCCATAATTACTACATCATTTGAAACTTTATAGGCTATTTCTATCTCCCTCCAGAAATTACCACAATAATGGTGATCCAAGAATTAACACCATGTATCTAAAGAACATAATTATTTCTTTTTCTCTTTTTCACATTGGATTTGTAGTACCCGAAAGAAATGTGCAATGAAATGCAATCCAAACCAATCTCCAATTTCATCCCTCTGTTAATAAAAAATGAACCATTAATGGCTTTATATGCACATTCTTTGGACAAAAACAAATGTCACAAAACACATGTAAAAAGGTAAAATAACATGCCTTACTACAGTCAAAATAAAATGTTAAAGGATAAATCAATAATATCTCCTAAGTAAACATAGACATCAGTCCACACATGATATTCAAAATTTAAATCAAATTAGATATCTTCTTTTATGTTACCTACTAATCAAGTTTTATTCGGGGGGGGAGGGGTGGGGATGCTGGTGGCAAACACTGTAGCCTTCAGCACCTTCTTACACCCCAATCCCTTCCCTGATTGTTCCAAGGCTGAAGTAAATGGAAACACACCCACCTAACAGATTGTCCTGGTTTCCCATCAGGAAAACAGTCACTTTTCTCACCGGGCTGGAAGGCAGGTAATCAGGCTGGTGGCAACTTGAGACCCTGAAGTGGCTATTATTAGGCCTAACTTGCTGGCTAGTTGAGATGGTAAACCTCTTCATTCAGCACTGAACTACGGAGGTGGTGAGGAGGCAACTATCTCTCCAGGCTTAAGTGCCCAATTATTTGCTCTTCTCGATGTCATCCACACAAACTCAGGGAGGGAAGAATTGTGCACAACATGTATATCAAAAATCCACAGCTAAAATACATTACAAAAGGAACCAGTGGCTCATGTAGAACAAATGTGAACAACACAAACAATTACAATAATCCTGTGCATTACTTAGTGGATTCCAGTTAATTATTGTAATTTCATACTTAGATAAGCACTGTTGTATCAGCCCTACATTCTCTACCACTGCCACCATCATGAACAACTATAGCTTTGAAAATATTTGCTGAATTTTAATGCCTGAATAAAGGGAATTGTTGGATAAAAAAAAACTGCACTGTAGTATTTCCATTACCATGCCAGAAGATTAAAGTGCATGTGAATAATCATGGAATACTGGATTTAATCATTAGATAATTGGTCTTTGAACATTTAAATAAATACAAATGTATTGGTCAGATTACATTTTTTGGGCCAGGATGCAATATGCAAAAAAGCACAGGTCAAGTATTAGACATGCGAGCTAACAGCATTCATTTTCTGAAGTGCTGTAAAGTACCTTAAGCAGCCTCTGTAGCCTGTAATGTATTGCCCTCTAGTGGTTGCTCATGGATCAAACACCCAAATTGTATTATAAGTTTCAGGGCAAATATTTTTCATAATAAAGAGACTCTTTAATATTTTTGTTGTACATTCCCATTTATTTGCCAGGCAATATAACAAAATTAATAATAAGCATGAAGGCTTTCATTACTACTGAAAAATGTACGTCACAGCAAATGAAGACTCAAGGTCCATCAATTACTGGCGGCAAAACAATATGGTTAGTGTTAACTAAAATATTAATATCAGTCCATGTAAAGACAGTGGGAGTTGGGGTTTCTACACAGCTAAGTACAGCAATAATTCCTTATTTCTGATGCAGTATTTCTATCTACCTTGCCATTCAGTTTATTGGAAAAAATTGTAAGAATTATCTAAGATATTTATAACTACAAAATCTTTGGTTATTTTTGAATTTTTAAATATAAATAATGTGCATCACATCTTTACATTCAATTTCTTGTTTCCAACACAGTTAACTCTAAAAAGTGGTCAAATTGTCAGTGAAAAGAGCTCTAACCAATTCCAACTATAACCTGGAGATGTCACAACTGTAGGATAAACGATGCATTATTATTCATCCTTCAGGCTTCACAGCATGCTCAGCCACCTCAAGGATGTGGTTACTCAGACAAACAAAGAAGCATCAGTCATGAGTGTGGCCCAGAATACACCAAAGACAAAAGGCAAAACATAGATATCATCAGCAAACACAAAAGAAATCATCTTTGCCCATCATTTCTCAAATGGAAATTGTCAGCTCAAGAGATAAAATGTGAAGTGCATAATTATGATGTGCTAACTACAAAGCAGGGACAATGAAAATCAAAGGGAGGAGGGGAAAAGTTGTTTGGAGAAGGAATATTTCAGAAGTGATGCAGAATATGTAAATCAACACTAATTTTTAAAGTTTAGTGACAGTTTTAACACACTAATATGCTCTATTGTTTGATGCTTGAAGAAGTGTGGTCAGAAGCAATCCAAAATGCTTCAGATGGCCAGTTTTATTTCCAGGCATTAAGTGAAAATGGGGCTTTCTGTCTAATTAACAGCATCAGCTCAGTTTTTTGTAAACGGGCAGTAAATTGAAATCGAGGGATAATAAATTGAAGTTGAGTCTTTTGAAAGTCATGAGCTGACATATTAACTTGTTTCTCTTTCTCCATAGATGCTGTCAGACCAAGTGAGCATTTTCTTGATCTATTAATTATGGAGGATCCGATATCTATGGTACAACCATTAAAGCTTTGAAGTTTATATGGAGTCATAGTTTACTTGTTTATTTCCAAAGGAACCCGGCGTGTTTCTCTTCACTAGTAATTCCACCATCATTATTTGCTTTACCCTTCCACCCAGTTGTAGCTAACTATGTCGAGTGGGAGCCTTTGCTATTTCTATCAGTTTCAAGCCCAAAACAGTGCCAACCAGCTTTAGGCCAGCAAACAGACAAAAGTATTAAAAATGCCCTTGTTTCTCCTAGATTTGAGAAAAAAAAGACATGTTTCTGGTTATTAACCAGCAATTCCAGCTTAGGTGAAGATTGGCTATATATGGTTTAATAAGAAATGTGACAGCATAAGTTAAAATGTTGAATATTTAATTGAAAACAAAGAGAATTAATCAATGTTGCTTGAATTGGAACCAATGAAGCCCAAAGACCAACACTGGTTTCAATTTCGCTCTCATCATTTCTCAAATTCTTTATGTCAGGGGCACAAAAAGGTAGTAAAATGAACAGACAAATGGTAGATGCAATTTAATGAGAAATTAAGTGCAACATAATAAAATTTGGGAGAATAAACTAAAAATAATAGTATTAGGAGGGCTCCAGTGGTATAGTGGTAGTGTCCCTACCTAAGTATCAGAAAAATGGGTTCATGATCCACCTGCCACGGAGGTTTGTCTGAACAGGTTGATTGAAAAATATATTTTGTGGTGGAGTGGTAATCTCCTTACCTCTAAGCCAGGAGGCCTGGGTTCAAGTCCCACCTGCTCTAGAGGTGTGTAATAACATACCTTGGTAGATACCCATGCAGACACAGGGGTATTATGCAAACTCCACACAGACAGTCACTCAAGACTGGAATCGAACCCCAGTCCCTGACACTGTGAGGCAGCAGTGCTGACCACTGAACAACTGTGCCACCCCAGTTCCTTTGTTTTTTTTCTTCTTTAATGATTCATTGGATGAGGGCATTGCTGACTAGGCCAGCACTTATTGCCCATCCCTAATTTCCCACAGGGTAGTTATGAGTCAACCACATTGCTGTGGATCTGGAGTCACATGTAGGCCAGACCAGGTAAGGATGGCAGTTTCCTTCCCTCTAGGGCATTAGTGAACCAGACAGGTTTTTCCAACAACTGACAATGGACAATGGATTCCTGGTCACCATTACACTCCTAATTCCAGATTTTTTAAATTGATTTCAAATTCCACCATCTGCTGTGGTGGATTTCGAACCCGAGTCCCCAGAATATTATCTGGGTCTCTGGATTAACAGTCCAGCGATAATACCAAGCCAGCACCTCCTCGTGTATTCTTGTATTCTTATCTTTAGTTTTCTATAATTAAATCTTTATTTTTACTCACATCATGGCATACATTTCCTTATAACAGATGGATTAAGAAACTCCAATAGTAGCATGATCCAAAATCCACCATATGACCCTATGAGATACGATACTGAGGTGTCCGCCATCTGATTTCAATGGGAGGGCAAAGGGGAGCACATAAACCAACATTAACGCAATCCTGTACTTGAAAGAGATTATTTGAAAGTAGGTTTCTTAATGTGAATGCATATCAAGTAAAATATTGGATTTGGTACTTTCCTGATGATAAGTAGCAGCTAATACAACTTGCTCATTTACGTTCTACGCGTTTGATGGCCATTTTTCCTTGGGGACTACAGGAATGACCCCACAATTTCCACAGCATCAATGTATGTATGGGACAGGCACATTATTCACAGTTGAACATCATAAGATTATTTTGCACCGAATGTGGATCATTGTTGACTCCGTACCTTATTGATCTCCATCTCATGATTTATTAGCTTGTTCTGAGCTTCTTCCAGTTGATTACATGCTGAATCCCTTTCTCTCACCAGCCTCTGTAACTGACCTTCAAGACAAGTAACATTTTCTGACAAACAGGTCACCTGTAAATAAACAGAATATCATGAGTTTTAAACAGAAATGGAAATTTGCAAATACTCGACAGTCTAACAAGAGTTATGAGAGTTATAAGAGTTAAGAGAAAGAAAATCCTTTCATCAGACGTCAAACAACATGAAAGTCAGAACTGTAATTAACAATAGAATGCTAATTGTACTTTCCAATAAATATGAGAAGTAGACAGCAATACAATCCAAGAAGAACTGAACTTCTGTGTATAGCACCATTAATGTTATAAAACATTTCAAGATATTTCAGTGGACCTTTAAGGAATAACTTGGGACTGAACCACATGAATATTGGGTGACAAAAAGCTTGAACAAAGATGTAGGTTTTAAGGAATATCTTAAGTTAGGAATGAAAATTATAATGATGAGAGTGATTTTATTGTCACATGTACTTGGGAAAATACGGTGAAAAGTGTTTTGTCACCACAATCTGGAACCATTTTGGAGTACAAAATGAATGAAAAGAAATTACTTAGATTGAGCTTCATCTTCTGTTCAAACTGTTAGAAAAATGAACCAAAACATAGAATGTAAAGGCAGAAAAATAAAGAAATAGTGTTCCACTTTACAATCCTTCTTGTCAAGCACGGCTCTGGGTTTTCTTAAGGTCTCCGGGATCTCTGTAAGGTGTTCTGGTCTCTGGGCCGAAATGAGTCCCCATTCCAGGTCCAGCCAATGCCCCAAAATGAGGGGTTAAGAGATCAGGGATTGTGTGGCAGAGCTTAGGCCAGGGGTTCCTGCAATTGCGCCCCTTCTGCAAGACATTGGGGTTGAGAGTTCCAAAGCAGCAATGGTGGCCATAGAACTCAGATTGTGTTTTCGCACCTTCAAAGCAACTTTAAATGTTTGTGTTATTTTTCTGTTGATGGATCATGATTAATTATCTGTTCTCCAAGGCCCGATTATTGCTACAAACAATGCCTGTAAAGAGGCGTTTCATTGCTTTTTTCACGACAAATCCAATAGTTTAAATTGCTCCCCAACCACCCTAGTCAGTCACCTTGTTCTAGGTAACAACTGTCTTCCTGCTGCACCACATAACAACTGTCCCCCTTACAATTTTCACTGAGGTCACAGGAAGTTCAAGGCATTAAAATGCAGTCACACTGGGAAACTGTTCAGAGAGCATTGCCCTAAAGCCTTGGTAGCTGAATACGCGGTCATGGCAATGGTGGAATGATTAAAATGGGGATGCTTAATCAGTGCCTTGAAGAGTTGTAAGACTGATTGGTTTATTTATTGTCATGTGTACCGAAATGCAGTGAAAAGCTTTGTTTATGAGCAGTACAGGCTGATCATAGTAAGCAAAGGATGTATAGATCAAAAAGATTTAGACGCAGGCATACAGGTTGCACTGCACAGGGCGTGCGCTAGGCGAGATCAGCATTATTTGTGGCTAGACAGTCCATTCATCAGTTTGTTAATGGCAGGGAAGAAGCTGTTCCTGAACCTGCTGGTTCAGGCTCTTGTATCTTCTGCCTGACAGAAGAGGTTGTAGGAGATCGTTACCAGAGCGTGATGGGTCTTTGATGATGTTGGTGGCCTTTCTGCGACAGCGAGCCATGTAAATGGAGTCCATGGATGGAAGGTTGGCTTCCGTGATCGTCTGGGCTGTGCACACCACCTTCTGTAGTTACTTACGGTCCTGGGCAGAGCAGTTGTAATACCAGGCCATTATGCACCCAGACAGTATGCTTTCAATGGTGCATCTGTAGAAGTTGGTGAGGACCTATAGAAATGCCAAATTTCCTCAGCTACTTGAGGAAGAAGAGGCATTGTCGTGCCTTGTTGACTTTCTGGATTGGAGGAGGTTAGAGTTAGGGAGAGGCAAGGTCAACATTATTTGAAAACAAAGTTAAGAATTTTAAAATCAAGATTGCCAACGTGGGTCAATGAGAATAGGTATGAAGGTGAATGTTTTTACGTGAGTTATATTGGAAGGGTCAAGTCTAGATGTAACAAAGGGAAGGATGAAAGTTCAGTAGATTAGTTGAGGCATAGGCAGAGTCAGCTGATGTTCAAGTGGCTGAAATACGCCATTTTAGAGATGGAGTATATATTTGCTCACTTCAAGGTCAAATATAACACCAAGATTGTGAACTGTCTGATTTTGCATTAGGTAATTGTCAGAAGAGACATCGAGTTGGTATCAAGGGAATGGAATTTGTAGCTGCAACCAGAACAATGACTTTGGTCTTCCCAATATGTTATTGGGGAAATATAGAGGTTTTTCAGGACAAAAACGTTGAACAAGCAGTTTTTTTCGAACTCATAATCACATTGCATGCATATTATAATCATGTTATATATTTGTTGCTACAATAGTAAGATAAGAAGCAGTGTTTGTGTTTTTTTAATAAAACTCTCAAATCTTGACTCAAAGTAAATTCACATCAGTTATGACGCATAAGCTGCTGAATGAAGATTAGCATTGTCAATTTTTTCTGAGCTTTGCTTTAGCTATCAAGGAATTTTTAAGAGTTATAATTATTTCACTAAAAACTATTCTCAGTAGCTAGCGGTGCTAGTGATTCAAGACTGACGTAGACTAGACTGAAGAACCAAATTGCATTAAAATCTATCGAGTCACTCTTCAATGCAAGCTATTTCTGTAACTACGTCCTTATAAATGTTTAGAGGGACAATGAATGCCCAAAACGTCAATTTTCTATGCCCCTCAAAACGTTACAAAAATTTCTTCTTGCTTTTCAGGAAGAAATAACCATAATTATTTAATACCTGCCTTTAATTTCTTTTTCTTTAAACATTTGTTGGATGCCATCTAAAGGCCAAATAATCTAGTCTGTATAGCTCAAAAATTACTATATGGGATTATTTGAGAGTACAAGTAAATTTTATGAAGCATGACCTCCTACTTCTTAAAAAAAAACTAAGAGGTTGTCAATCTTTTGATGAAAAATTACATTTCTTTCCTTCTTTTAGGGATATTCACCTCAGCTTCAATTATAAATATAAATAGAACAATTATAAACCCTTCATGAATATCATTGACTGAAATAAAAATAAACATCCAATCTTCAATTTTATTAGAAGCAATGTCGAGCTTGAAGCACAATCAAATCCATAACATGAAATGTTATAACAGTCGAAAAACACTCAGCCTAAAAGTTGTCTACCTGGGGAGCCCTGACTACTTCTCTTCCTCTAGTAAATACTACAGTGACATAATTACTCTACAGACATGATCTACCATTACACATTCCCTGGGTAAAAAAGAAGAATCAAACTACGGGGAGATTCCTGCTGTGAACTCTCCAGCAACTTGCTCATACATCAATAGCAATCAGAAGCTGGCAAGCAGCCCTGTAGACAATTAGAGCTAGATTTATGGCATTATAAATAGAATACGGAGAAGGAAAATCAGAACTCTTGATTGAATTGACTAGATTGCACTGTAGAGTTGGCAAACAAAATCTTTTTTAAGTGATTACTTGTGGGATAAGAGCAGTAATGATACCCCCAATGATTCAGTGATCACGTTGGATCATCAGTCAAGGAAGGAAGATTTGGCAAAGTGGAATAGGTGCACAGGGACAATATCTTGAATACTATAGATGGTGTGGACGGTTCAAAAGTTGGACAATTTGGAAGTTATGGAAGGTGGTGATCAGAAGGCCAGCAGGAAGTGCATTGGAGAAGTCTATTTTAGAATAACAATGCATAAATTATGCTTTAAATGTTTAATCCAAAGGGTAGATCAAATGGCTTTGGTACTCAAGGATAAAAGCTTGTGAATTACATGTTGCTCTCTTTGGTGAAACACATCATGAAGAACATTCAAGGAAGAGGACTAAAGGCTTGGTTATTTTGAGTGAGACATTAACCTATTTATTTTATTATCCACATTTCATCTCAAAGCAATGCGATTGGCCTAACAGTCTTAAGAGTAAAAAATTTCAATTGTTGATTTATTTGAGGACCTGTTTAACTTTACATTTGTCTTGTAGCTGATCAATGAAAACTATAAGATTATCTAGACCACTAAAATGATAAATGTCTTATTTCTCCAGCAGATAGCTACAAAAAACATTTATAACTCATTTCAGAGGATCAATTGGAAGGCAACATAAAAATTGGAAGTTAGTCAACAAAAAGTTTGGAATAAATCTTTGTAAGCTACATAAATAATTTAACATTATATGTGTAACATGCAAAGTAGATGCACACTTATTTCATGCATCACTATAACTCTCTTGTATGAAATTATTATTTTGCTTCAAAACTTTTATTAAGTTATTCAGTACACAATAATAGTTACATTAAGGATTTTTAAACTCATTTGAGATTTCAATGATTATTAAAACCCACACAAATTTACCTTCAGTACATTCAAGCCAACAATGCAATTTATTTAGAAGTGAGGGAGGGCAAGTAGTATCATAATACAGCTATGAATTTTCAAAGCCACAAAAGGTAAATTGTTTGGTAAAGGTAAATGTAAATAGCTTGTATTCCTTTGTTAAAAATTTCTTTCAAAGAAATTGTCTCAATATAAATTTACAATCAATCAAAGCATAGAACATGGCCCACAAGCTTTTAAACGCATCAGTTCTCACCGTGCTAATATTACATGGAGGCAGTGACTCAGGCCAGCGGCTATAAAGTCAGCGCAAGTCCTACACTATCAAATCTGGAAGGCTTTACCATATTTCATTGTTGTCAGCTAGTTATTGTTTAAGGTCACAAGCTTCCATCTGCATGAAACATGTCTCCAAGTAGCAAATACGGGGGCTGGAGTCAATCCACCAGCAGGAGCTTTTGCTGGTAGGTGGAACTTGAACTAAGTGGGGCAGCCATGCCGGGGTCACCCAAGGAGGCCCTGGCCTGGGAGATGGGACAGGTATATCAGCAACTGAGTTGCTTCTCTGCATCTGTCTGTATCTGTGTACTCTTTGCACTGGGAGTGAGGAGTCTCTCCATGGGAGATAGGGTGCCGAGTAAGAAGCAGTGCACCTATGAACTCAGACAGGCCTCCAGAAGATAAAGGCATCCACTGCCACTCATGAAATACCTGCGGTGATGAGAAGTAGCCTTTAAGTTGCCATTAATTGGAACGCACAGGCATATTTCTTTTTGGTAAATAACCCTGAATTTATTTTGACATATTGGAATTACTTCACCTCAGGACAAAAATACAGCTAACCCCATTGGTATGACTAGTGACAGTGACAGCAAGTCTCTTAGTCCACTCTATCTTGAATGATTATTTTTTCTTCCAGGCTGAGGCATTTTGCTATAGTAAGTGATTTTCACTTCATATTTAGCGTCTTCCTTCAGGTAATGAAAACGTGTACAAACCAAAGGAG